TATAAATCTTTCATTTGTACACATTTAAAAGAAATCCAGTCCCCATCGTGTATTACCACTTTCGACTACAATTTGGACTAAGTAGTGAAAGCTACTCGCCCACCCGTACACACATCGCTAAGTGCGCGCTTTACTTTCCCTCACTCATTAGTGGGATGGCTGGTGGTGTGGGTGTGGAGTTCGTTGTGCCAATTTCTATGCGTTGTTTAACAAATGGGGAAAATGCAATGCGATGCTTTTACATGCGAGAAATATGTGTCGTAAATGCATAGTTATTGTTCTTATTGTTGTTGCTGGCCACAATGCGCACTTAGTTGTGTTGTTCCGTGTTCTTTGACACCCCCACCCACAACACTTGTATAAATTACACACTTAACTTTGGCACAGCAGCGACGGGTACAAAACGCTTAGTACATAAGCCGCATGTGTCAACTGCATAAGCCGCCATTTTGTATGGTGGGTGCATCTGCGAATTTCTATGCTCATACTATGCGTGTGTGCATGTATGTGGGACCACCTTTGACAAAACAACAACCACACCAACAACAGCTTTAGCTGCAAGCGCAATTTTAATGAGCACAACAGCAGAAACCCCAGCCAGCAACTTTTGTTATTTCGGCATCTTCTCTTCTTCTTCTTGACTGGTCTTCAAACCCGTTATCGGGCTATGACCTGACGTAACACAGCTCTCCACGCGCCTCTGCTTCGCGCGCGTCGCTTCCAGTTGGTCACTCCGCAGGTAGTAAGTGCGTTCTCTACCTGGTCCTTCCAACGTAGGCAAGGCCTCCCCCGTCGTCGTCTCCCCCCAACATCCGCATCGAGAACTTTTTTCGCTGGAGCGTCTTCTTCCATACGCACGACATGACCTAGCCAGCTTAGCCGCTGGGTGTTTATTCGCTTGACTATGTCAATGTCAGCGTAGAGCTCGTACAGTTCGCTGTTCCATCGTATGCGGTAGTCGTCGCCAACGCGTATGGGACCGAAGATCTTCCGAAGCATCTTTCTCTCAAACACTGCAAGAGCTGCTGCATCAGTCTGCGATATCACCCATGCTTCTGCACCATAAAGCAGCACGGGGAGGATGAGCGTCTTGTAGAGCGTTAGCTTGGTTTTTCGGGAAAGGTCTCTGCTACTCAATTGCCTACTGAGGCTGAAGTAGCATCGATTGGCTAGAGTTAATCTCCATTTGATTTCTAGGCTGACATCGTTGGTTGCTGTGACGGTGGTGCCAAGATACATAAAATCTTTCACCATTTCGAAAGTATAGTTTTCCACCGCGATCTGGGAGTCTGGTTGCCGCGTGTCCCTGCTAGAGGAAAACATATACTTAGTTTTGCTCTCATTTATCACCAAACCCACTTTTGCAGCTTCCTTCTCAATAGCCGCAAATGCTCCGGTGACGCCTCTCCTGGTACGGCTGATAATGTCTATATCATCAGCGTACGCAAGAAGCTGAACGCTTTTAAAAAAGATCGTTCCGCCTCGGTGTACACCAGCTTTGCGCACCACACTCTCCAGCAGGAAGTTGAAGAGATAGCACGAGAGGGCATCGCCTTGCCTGAAACCTCGAACGGTATCAAAGGGTTCGGAGAGGTCCTTTCCTACCTTGACGGAGCTACGAGTGTTGCTCAACGTCATTCTGCAAAGTCGCACTAGCTTTGCAGGGATACCGAACTCAGACAGTGCGGCATATACACGTTCCCTCCTCGGGCTATCGAATGCTGCTTTATAATCGACGAAAAGATGGTGGGTATCGATTTGAAACTCATGGGTTTTCTCCAGGATTTGGCGTAGCGTGAATATCTGGTCAGTGGTGGATTTACCAGGCATAAAGCCGCACTGATAAGGCCCAATCAGTGCTATCGCAAATGGCTTTAGCTTATCACACACTACGCTTGATATGACCTTATATGCGACGGAAAGAAGGCTGATTCCACGATAGTTGGTGCAGACCGTGGGATCACCTTTTTTTAGGACGGGACATAGGACACCGAGATTCCAATCATCAGGCATGCTTTCAGTTAGCCATATTTTGCAGATGAGCTGGTGCATGCACCCTACCAACTCATCGCCGCCTGCCTTAAACAGCTCCGCAGGCAGCCCATCTGCTCCCGCAGATTTGTTGTTTTTGAGCCGCTGGATGGCTGTTTCGACTTCGTCATGGCTAGGTGACGGTACTTCAATACCATCGTCGGCGATCGGTTCTGTGGGGTCATCTCCGCTGGCGGAATTGTTAACATCTTCGCCTGATAGAAGATTGGAGAAATGTTCCCTCCACAGTCTCAGTGCCGCTTGCCCGTCCACCACCAGATTTCCTTCCGAGTTCTTACAGGCTGACGCTGCGGGCTTAAAACCTTGTGTTAGACGCTTCACCTTCTGGAAAAATTTCCTAGCGTCGTTCCTGTCTCTACAAAGCTCCATCTCCTCTCGCTCTCGCTTTTCTTGCTCTCTCTTCTTGCGTCTAAAAAGCCGCCTCTCCTCCCTCTTCTTCTCCCGATATACATCATGCACAGCGCGCGTTGTCGCCGTCTGCAGGGTTCTTTTGTACGCGGCATTCTTCGCTGCAGTGGCTTCGCGGCACTCCTCGTCGTACCATTGGTTTCTCGGTAGCGGCTGTTGGAAACCAATGACATCTTCTGCGGCTGTGTGCAGTGAGCGGGAAATATGTGCCCAAAGTCCGCTACCAGTATCGGTTTCCGAGAACGGTTGAGAAAGCAGCTCAGAGAGTTGAGCGGAGTAAGCTTCGGCAGTCTGTTGTGCTAGCAGCTTTCCGACGTCTAGTTTTCGCTGCGTGTTGGGGCGTACATTTTTCGCCATGCATAATCGCATGCGGACCTTGGCTGCAACAAGTTGGTGGTCCGAATCAATATTCACACCACGGAACGTACGCACGTCCAGCACACTGGATGCATGCCTTCCATCTATCACAACATGGTCTATTTGATTTTTTGTCATTCGATCGGGTGACTGCCAGGTAGCTTTGTGGATATCAAGGTGTTCAAATCTGGTGCTACTCACCACCATGTTTCGTGCTGCGGCGAAGTCAATTAGCCTCAGTCCATTGTTGGATGTTGTCTCGTGGAGGCTGAATTGTCCGACTGTCGGGGCAAAGACGCGCTCTCTTCCAACCTTGGCATTAAAATCGCCAAGAACAATTTTAATGTCATGAGAGGGGCAGCGGTCATAGACTGTCTCCAGTCTCGCATAGAACTCGTCCTTGGTAATCTCGTCTTTGTCCTCCGTCGGAGCGTGGACGCAAATCAGGCTTATGTTGAAAAATCTCGCCTTGACACGAATGGTTGCCAGCCGTTCGTTCACAGGTGTGAACCTAGAGACACAGTTACGCAATCTCTTGCTGACCGCAAAACCGCATCCAAATTCGCGTCTTTCTGCATGGCAGCTGTAGTAGATGTCAAGGGCTGCTCTTTGGGAGCAACCCTGACCTGTCCATCGCATTTCCTGGATGGCGGTGATGTCAGCTCTTACTTTATTGAGAGCATCCGCCAATTGGATAGTAGCACCTCCTCTGTTAAGGGTCCGGACATTCCAGGTGCATATCCTTAAATCGTGGTCCTTTAAACGTTTGCTAGGGTCGTCAACTTTTGGGTGTTCCTTATCCGAGGCTGTTGTTATGTCCTTCACTGGGAGTAAAAAATTTTCATGTGGTGGGTCCCAAGCCCTACGCACAAAAGCGCTGCACACATTTGCTCACTTACCAACTCCGGATGGAGCCGGAAAGCTACCCAGAGAGCACCGCGAGGAGGTCGTGTGTCAACTTGATGATGGCAGAGACAAAGATCACTCTGGCCATTTCCACGTTAATGGCAGTCAGAAGCTTTACATTGTTCTACCAAAATCCGAGCCCTCCATTATTTCGGCATCATTGTTTGCTATTTCACGAGTAGTTTTTAGTTTTAGTTTTTATTGTCATATGTGGCACATGTGTGAGTGTGTTTGTGTGGGCTGCTGAGCTGCGCATAAAACGCATCAAAGTGCAATTTTTATATCCGGGTTCTCATCAACCTGCCGCCATTGCCGCCCCTCGTGCGTTCCACAAACAAGAACAAGTAAAAGCGCTTAGCAAAGCACGTCGCCCCCCCCCCCCCCATCCTTCGCTGCAACACCCATTACCCACACTGTGGCACCGCTGCTGTCCGTGCCTGCTTGGCAGCCACTTCCGCTTCCTCCGGCGTCCATGTTGGAGCAGCAGCTGCTTCTGTTAAACTCGTGCCGCTCGCTTCATAAATCATAAAACTTTCGCTGCACGCAGTCGGCGGCCACTGTGGCAAGTCGACTCCTTTCCCCTCACCTGCCCCTTCTGGCCAACGCACCACGCACCCCCCGGACTGGCATTTGCGTTCACCAAGTGTTGAGTAAATGTTTTCGCGCCTCGTTGCTCACAAATTCCCCAAACGTTTCGAGTGTTTTGTTGCGGTGCGGCAGCAGAGGACTATGTTGTTTGATTGTTATTGTTGTTGTTGCTGCGCTAGTCTTGTTGTCATATTTAGAAACATTTTAATATTATGGCAGCTTAAAAATGAAAAAAGTTTCGCCACTTTTGTGGGTATTTGCCGCTAATATACCAGAGTGATATTTTAAGCATCAGCTGGGGATCAAGCGGTATTCCTCTCCTATTGTCTGCCCATGCATGCTTCGCAGATATACTATACTCGTATATAGTGTGTAGATCCGTTTAAATGGTACTCCATGACATATTTTAGACGATTCTTATGTTATTGCTTTATTCTTTGCTTGCAAATAGAAAGTCACTTCATGTTGTAACGTTGCTCTGGCCCGGGTATGCTAGACGGCCAGAGTCGACTCAAAATTAGTTGTTTGGACCTCCAAAATAAAATAAAGTCGAGTTACAATTGAAAATTCATTGGGCGTTGGGCAAAATACATATAAGGACTAGCTTAAAATAATAATCTAAGTTGCTTAAAATACTATATATAGTACTTGTTAACAAACCATCTATTTATTTATTCTTTTTGTGTTTCTTAAACAATTTGAAAAGCTATCATTGAACAAATCTTTGCCTGCCTAAATACAATACGCTTGAAGCATATTTTCAAAAGTATTCAGGTGAAATAGCATTACCGCAGCGTCAATCTGCACGTTCTTTTTAAATCTTTTCAAATTTCCAGGAGCTTTAATGAGCCATCAAAGTAATTGATCAAATTCTTAGGTCAAAACTGTGTTCATTTTCTATAGTTTTCTCAAACTGTCTTGAGATCGCCAATATGTGCGGATGCGTTCGAAAGCGCATGCTGGCGCCCCACATTATATCTAGATGATTCCATTTCGGATTTGAGTACAAATGGTTAACGACCACGTTCGGCAGCTGATTTGCTAGCCTCTGAACATCTTCGGGCACAGAAATGGGGTCGTTATGGGTATAATACAAAGCAATGGGTGCAGTAATACGTCCGATGGGGTAATCCGGTGGGTCCAGGCGGCCGTAAATCCGTCTATTAATTTTCGCCCCGTAGTCGAAGGCATGAAATCGGCCAGACCTAGTGAGCTGCAAGTAGTGTTTGATCTGAAGAGTGCTGCACCCGGCAGGCAAATGGCCAAATATAACAGGAATCATGGTCTGTTAATGTTATTATTTTTGTTAAGTATGTATGTGTGTATAAGGAAATTAGTAAATGGTGCGTTTAAAATTTAATTTGGAAAAACATTTAAAACCGATGACAAAACTGTTCATCGGTTAGAAATATTTTCTTTTACAAATTAAATAAAAAAAGTGTAGCTTTAAATTTGTAAAAATACCTGCTGCCGTAACTAAAGTTTTCCACAAGTATTTGTAATTTAAAAACTACAGATTATATTTAGAACCTTAAGCAAACTATTTATCAAGCGATGCCTGAACTTTAGAGTTGCGTCTATTATTAAGTACTCTAAGTGCTTTTTCGGACCATAACAACATTTGGAAATGCTCCAAATACTAGCTTCGTATTGGGGTTCTTGATTTCTTCTTTGAGTTCCAACAGAATTTCCTTGGATCGTCCTATCCCCAATAGGGTTCTAGGCAGCAAATTTTAGGTCATTTTGCAAAACTAGTATAGTAGTACTCCAAAAACTATTTAATCTCTCATCTTTTTTCCCCTAGATATCCTGATGTGTTTTAGTAGAACCACCTACCTTGTTTAACTCCCTCTCGTTGTTTCCAATCGCGCTAAAGAGGTAATACAGACAAAATCTCATTGAGAGCACTGATAATAGACAGATATGCATATTGTCATGGGAATGTCGATACAACTCAATGGCTTCATTAGAGCCAGTAAATATGAGAACTTTTGTGATTATCAAATGGAAAGTTGGCGTCTTCATGTGACCGAGAAATGCCACGGGCGTGAAGCCGTTCATCAGATGTACTTTGTCATTGTACTCTGGCAGCTTGGAAGCCATCACAAAGAAGGAAGTGGAGCCCTGCGAATGGCCGTAGTAGGTTAACTTCGCAAATCGCGTCACATTCAGCACCGTATCGATCATTGCAGGCAGATCATAGATTCCCATTTCATGCCACGAAAAGTTCCAAAAAGCACTATCTTCGTTGGGGTCCAGGGAAGTGTGGTTACGAGAATAGGTATTGCCGCGACTATTTCCCATCCAGACATCGTAGCCAGAGTCGTACAGATAATATGCCAATCCACTTTGTGGTCCCATCATTATCCATGTGGCAGAGCTGTCCAGAATTCCGTGTACAAGCAGGACGGGCTGAGCCCCCGGTCTAGGGATGCGGTGCATTCCCAGTATATAGTTGTCCGAAGTGGTAACAAAGTGTGCCTCGTTTGGATACTTGTATTTGGCCAGCAGTTCCAGCTATGGTCTTGAGTATTTAAGTGAATTGTCGAAGTAGTTCTGAAGTTCTTACCGTCGTCATATGTGCATCTTCAGACACACTGGGCGGATAGTTCCGTTCCAAAAAGCCTGCTCTGCTGCTGGAAAATTGCATGGCTATGCAAATGGCACTTAGTCCGTAGACTGTAAGCCAATTATCCATAACTAAAGCAGAGCTGGTTGTACCTTCACCCCTAAATTGGTAGATTGTGTGGACGAGCGAGGTGCTACCTTCCGAACAATAAGCGGGAATGCCAACTACAAGTATGTTGATGCGCGTTAAATATTTTATTCAGTGAAGCACTTAAAGCGGAACCAACACTAAAAACAAGAGAGAACGCTACAGTCTAGCAAGCCCGACAGTGAAATACCCTGTACCCAGGTAAACTTCCGACACTGAGGTATATGCGCCCATAGTATAAGCAAAAAGAGGAAGAAGAAGAGCGAACTTGTTGCTGCAGTTTGGGGGGGTTGTACTGGCGAATCCAGATTCTCCTATGTCCGAGAAAGGACGAGTTTATTTTATTTTTTGGAATTTTCCCCCCCTTCCCCCGCTACAGAATTTCGTCAATAGCGTCCACATTTCAAATGCTACCTAAACCAAACTTTATCCAATTCGGTCAATTCTAAGAAAAGTTATTCGCGAAACAAATTCTATCCTGTACATTCCCCCCCAAACTGCAGCAACAAGTTCGCTCTTCTTCTTCCTCTTTTTGCTGCTGCTTTGGGCGCATATAACTCAGTGACGGAAGTTTACCTGGGTACAGGGTATTACACTGTCGGGCTTGCTCGACTGTAGCGTTCTCTCTTGTTAATAATTAATTTGATTTACATTTAAATAGAAATTCTTATCTCAACGACTCGTCTCAAGTTTTCGATTCATCTTCAATTTTTTTAAGGTGAAAATTCGAAACCTAATTTTGTAATTTTTGTTATTCTTCATAGTCCTCCTCTGAGTCCTTCGAACCCTTCTGCGGTTCTGGTGTAGTTAGCCAGGGCTTTTGGAAATATTCCAATCTCTTGGAAATCTCCACCATTTTCGGCTGCAGTCGTCGCCGCGCATTCGTGGCCCAAATGATGTCCGCGTGATTCCAATTATTAAATATTTGATGAGCGACCACATTGGACAGCTGTCTTGCCAATCGTTGAATATCCTCTGGCACCGTTAGATAGTCGTTTTCAGCCACGTACAAAGCAACAGGCACTGTGATGTTTTCTATATTGTAGTCTATTGGGCTTAGGCTACCGTATTTCAGCATCGATTTTTTTGGCGAGTATTCAAAGGAACAGAATCTACCGGACTTAATGAGCTGCAAATAGTGCTGGACTTGGCGTATGCTGCTGCCGGCGGGCAAATGGCCAAGGATTACAGGAATCATGGTCTGGGGGAGATAAAGAAACGAACAGTTTATAACAATTGGGAGAGTTGTAATACTTCTAAGGTTCTCAAGGAAATAATTACACTAAACTGGCGATGACACTTGAAATCTTCGACGGAATTTGGTCCATCTATCTACTATAGAGATAATTGACATGAAACATTTGTCAAATTAAACAAAAATAAAATAAAATGCTCGCATGTTCTGTGGTGTAATAATCAGAATTGTCTAAAAAGGGCATTAATAACCTGCAGGTGTTTTTACTAAAACGAGATTATTTGAATTTAAAATAATTAAGACTCCTAAGTTGAAATATTCTAGCTGTCCTCCAAAGTATTCACCTAAATATGTAAATACTCGTATGTAGTACACTTTATTTCGGGGATCACCTACCTTGTTTATTTTTTTCATATCGCCACCCACTGCACGGCTGACGTAATTCATACAAAGATTTAGCACTGTTTTCGATATGAAACACATTTTGAGCATTAGTTTCGATCGTGGCAACAGCTCCATTGGCTTATCCTTGCCGAAGAGTAGGGCCATCATGGCCCGCACTACCTTTACTAATTTCGTCTTGATGTGATTCAGGAAAGCCACGGGCGCCAGGGCGTTTATAAGAATCACTTTGTCATTGTACGCTGGAAGACTGGAGGCCATCACAAAGAAGACAGTCGTACCCTGGGAATGACCATAGTACGTTAATTTCTTAAAACTGGTCGCATCTAGCACTTTATCGATCATTGCAGGCAGATCATAAAGGCCTATTTCGTGCCAAGAAAAGTTCCAAAAAGCACGATCTTTACTGGGGTTCAGCGAAGTGTGGTTGCGAGAATAGGTATTGCCGCGACAATTCCCCAGCCAGACATCGTAGCCAGAATCGTACAGATAATATGCCAACCCATTTCGCGGTCCCATCAGTATCCACGATGCCGAGCTATCCAAAATTCCGTGCACCAGTAACACGGGTTGAGCGCCCGGTCGAGGTATGCGATGCAGTGCCAGTATATAGCCATCCGAGGTGGTCACAAAATGCTCTTCACTCGGATGTCTGTACTTAGCGAGCAGTTCTAGCTATGGTTATAGGAGCGTTTAGGAATTATTGAAGTGATTGCAAAGCTATTACCGTCGTCAAACGTGCATCTTGAATGACACTAGCCGGATAGTTTCTTTCCAGATAGCCGGCCCCACTGGTGGCCAACTGGACGGCCAGACAAAGGCCACATAGCCAGTTAATCATGCTTTACAAAAGGTTGCTGTGGACTGGCAATAGAGGCACTACCATCCAATATAATAAGTTGTTATCAATTAACACGCTATGCCATTCTATATACTTGTACGATGTGAACGCTTTAATGAATGGCAATGAGAGACCGTAAACGGTTTTGAAACTGGAACTGATGTAAAACGGGATGCGATCATACATAGTTTTTCTCAATGTCTGAGTTTCCCATTTGTGGCTTCTTTTACAATTTTTGATAAAACGTGGTTATATAAAACAGTTTTACTTTCTTTTCTACATAGAAATACAAATTTTAATCGAAATTGGAGGCTAAAACTGCAAAATAGGCATCTATAAGATACGAGTATGTGTTATAAATTAGCTGATGAAATAAATTGATAAACTGAACTCACATTGCGTTGGAGCATGTACCAGAATTGGTACATCATTCTACCTGTTTTCGATGATCTGATGGTGATCAGACTAACTAAACATTGAGAAAAATCGGTGCTGCACTTTATGGAAACGATGCGTGGTTTCATGATCAACTCGAAAACAAATGCCTGCTGAAAGCAATGTTTATTTCACTCAATTCATTTAATAATGATTTTCTGCGAATGCTGCATAAAAACAGCATTGTATAATTTACAAACAAGAGAGAACGCTACAGTCGAGCAAGCCCGACAGTAAAATACCCTAAATGCTCCATAAAAAAGGAAAGTTAAAAAAAAATTATTTACAAATATTTAATTAACTTAAATAATTAATTAAATTAAATTTAAAATATTCAATATTACATAAGTGTTTATTTACAGTTTCAATAGAATAAATTTACATCAGAATCGTGTCTCTGCGTGTTTATATGGGTGTATGTATGCAGCAAAAAGTTGAACCAAAGCAGCAACAACAACAACAGCTGCGGACAGAGCTTCTGCAGAGATTATATTTAAGGCTAAAACTTTCTTCATAATTCACATATCATATAGACACATAATCACTAATGGCATAAAGTTACCAAATTTTAGTTTGAAATTTCAAAAAGTACGGGAGTTATGGAAAAAACACAAACTCGACCTTTCTCGGACTTGGGAGAATCTAGATACCAAAATTGGTTATTCTAGCTCTTATACTTTCTGAGATCTTTGCGTTCATACAAACGGACGGACCAAGAATATATTTACTTTGTGGGGTGTGCCACGCCTCCTTCTGTTTGTTAAATACATTTGCACAAAACTAAAATACCCCTTTATCCTTAAATAAAATAGCATTGCCCTATTATTTGAAAAGTATTTAATTTAAATTAATTACCTTGAACAATGTAGCCTCTTATTTGAGCAGCACTTTGGGGAAAATATCGAAAGCATTCGATTTGAAGGGTTATAATAATTATAATTATACTTTATAAGTCTCGTAAAATATAGTTGTGGATTACACCTGGCAGATCAATATTGAATTAATGAGCCCCAGTACTAACAGGTGAGCTGGGTGGTCGTTTATTAAACGACATTTAAGCTGAAAATAGTATTTTATTTCCTTTTCATTCGTCGGTTGTCTCCCATTTCTTGGAATTAGCCATCATTTGCGGCTGCGCCTCTTGTCGCAGATTTGGGGCCCAAACCATATCCACATGATTCCATTCAGGATTCTCATATAAATGATTGACGACCACTTTGGGCAACTGCTTTGCCAATCGCTGAACATCCTCTGGCACCGTAAGAAAGTCGTCCTTTGTAAAATATAAAGCGATAGGTGCCGTAACGCGTTGTAATTGGTAGTCGGGTGGCTTAGAGGTTCCATAAATACGTTGATTTCTTTTTAGGTAAAAGTTGTATGGACGGAATCTGCCGGACCTAACCATCTGCAGAAAATGGTTCACTTGAAGCGTGCTGCAGCCGGCGGGACAATGTCCGAACATTACAGGATACATGGTCTGAAATGGGTGCAACCCGAAGAAAAGGCACATTTTAAACGATACTTGTTTAGCTAAGTATTAGTTAGTCTTCTACATTTGAACTTTCTGATATCAAATTCTGCCGCTTCTGGTAAAATATTTCTGCTCTGAAATTTCTCCGAAGTCTCACAACTACGCAGGTGAACGCCCACAATCAGGATCTACTCACCTTATTGTGTGATTTTCCATTGCCGCCAAATAAAAGTCTAGTAAAGCGCATGCAAAATTTTAGCCAATATGATGACATGAAGCAGAAATCCAAACCCATTTCGGACCGCGGCATGATTTCTGAGGGTCCATTGTCCGTTAAAAACACATTCTTCATGGAAAGTCCCATATCAAGTAGCGGCGTCTTTGTGTGTTGCACAAACACCGCGGGTGCCAGGGCGTTCATCAGATGAACATTATCATTATATGCTGGAAGACTGGAGGCCATCACGAAGAAGACAGTCGTACCCTGGGAATGACCATAGTACGTTAACTTCTTAAAGCCCGACACATCTAGTACTGTGTCGATCATTGCAGGCAGATCATAGATTCCCATTTCATGCCACGAAAAGTTCCAAAAAGCACGATCTTTATTGGGGTTCAGCGAAGTGTGGTTGCGAGAATAGGTATTGCCGCGACAATTCCCCAGCCAGACATCGTAGCCAGAGTCGTACAGATAATATGCCAATCCACTTTGTGGTCCCATCATTATCCATGTGGAAGAGCTGTCCAGTAGTCCGTGCACCAGCAGGACGGGCTGAGCGCCTGGTCGAGGAATGCGATGCATTCCCAGTATATAGTTGTCCGAGGTGGTGACAAAGTGCGCTTCATTTGGATAATTGTATTTGGCCAGCAGCTCCAGCTATGGTTGAGAATACTTAAGAGAATTGCCTAAGTATTTCTGCACCTCTTACCGTCGTCAGATGTGCGTCTTCAATAACACTGGGCGGATAGTTTTGTTCTAGAAAGCCAGCTCCACTGATGGCCAATTGGATGGCCAGCGAAAGGCCATTTAGCCAGTATTTGGAATACTGCATATTGTTTCTCATAGTGATGACATAATCAGCACTGCTGGGGATCAACTGCGAAGTGGTAGGTGGTGTACGACTAAGCCAGTAACTTTTTTTTAACTAGTATAATGAGTGGCAATTTCCGCTAATGCTTAACTCTGCCAAATGATCAATAAATCATTAGTAAGTGGGGTCTCACGAGCTGAAACAGAACTCAGCACGAACTGTACAAATTGAAATGAAGAATCAGAGCAGAAACTAGAACTTTTATTTACAATTTAAGCAAATCAGAACCAAATCATTAATTATATCGCAACTTGTATCTGAACTGAATGTTCAAAATGAAGAACAGAAAACAGCAACAAATTGTCATTAATTGAAGCTCAATCTTATTTGATGAACTTTTAATTACTATATTCCGTGATTTAGTTTTTTGAATTTCTATGGGTTTTTATAAAAACGAAATGAATATGTGAGCATTAAAGGGTTGCTGAGTTCTTCATAAGCAGAGTTTAGCATTGCAATGTATATTGCAAGAAATCAAGGGCATTACAATTTGGTTTAAAATCCTAGTCCTACCGACGTTGTAATAACAGCAAGAACAATGTGGAGTGTTGAAAAATAAGTAAAAAAGCTATCTCGGAGACTATGGGACCTAGGAACACCAAATTTAAGTCAAAGGTGCCCTTTGTGAATACGCAGAAAATGTGTATTTCGGAATTTCCCTCCCTCCCCCCTCTCCAAAGCAAATCGTAATTTTCGAACGCGAATTCGGGAAACACCCCCAGTAAGTTATTATGTGTCAGTATGACAAGTTTCACTATGATAGACCGATTCAACAATAAGTTATAGCCACGCACTGCCCCAGCTCTGCCCGCAGCTCTTGTTGATGCTGGTGCTTTGGCTGACTGCAAACATGCTTACACAGATACGAATAGATGCGAATAGGCATTCATACACTCACATAGACGTAATTGCTTTGTATATGTACAATTATACTCCCTTTACGTGAGTTCGAATACCGAGAGAGGTAACATCGATCCAAATTATTTTTTCTAATTTTCTTAATTTTTTCTATAATTATTGTAAACATATGTACAGAGTATTTCAAAGTCGGGACACCCGACTTTAGCTTTTTTACTTGTTAAATAGTTTTCCGGTTTAATCGTAAACTCTCCAAGAGAGTCTTAAGCAGACGCATAGCCTTTCTGCAAATACTACAAGTATATCTTCTCAAAACTATTCTTGGTTTGGCTAAAGCAGCATATACTATTTGCTTTATAGTGTAGACTGGCGACTATTTACTTAATATATCAAGTGCTTTGTGTGGATCAGCGATAATAGATAAGCATAAAATAATAAAATTATTTATGTCACGCAAAAGGGTGATTAAAAATATATATTCTCTATTAGTCTATAGGTTTTAAATATTTGTAAAATTGTGCCACACATGCAGTTGATGTTAACATTTAAAGGCGAGTCCACAGTATTATTCATTTAGTTTCAAAGCTGCTACTTTCATTGGCAAACGAGGTTCAACTAGCAAAACCAAATATTTTAGGCTGCGGCCTAGAGCCTACAAGTAGAGTCAATATTTGCGCGTTTGATTGAAAAATTTAATTTTTAATTCATTTGCGGCCTTTCCAAAAGCATTCGACACGCTTCGCTACTCGGCTCCCTACAATCCAGCCCAGTCCATTCTAGCTCACAGACAGACTCTCACTCTCAATGGCGCTTGACCAACCAATTTGCCTTTTTTCTGGCCTGTCCATCAAGCCGATCCACAGACATACTCTGATATGCACATTTCAAAGCCTAAGCGTAATCGTCGTCGTCGTCGTTTTTTTACAATTGATTGCTAAAAATTGATTTCTGCTTCTGCATAAAATATTTGGTTAGAACGATTCGGCTCCATTCGTCGCTCTATTGCCGCCAACAGCTGCCATGCCTCTGAATGGCAGTCTGACAAAGCGATGGGGGCGTGGGTCGGCGTCTCGCATTCATGGCCTGGTTGCCAGGCACTGGTCACGGCCCTGGTCCCGTCCCATTTTCGCATTCCATCTCGTCCTCAATACCGGCCGGCTGTTGCCAATGGCGCTGTCGGACGTTCCGACGTTCCGACATTTGACAAATAACTTAATTCGGCGTTGTCACCACATGTTGGCAGCATTGGCGACGCTTTTGAAGTTGGCATGCAAATGCAGCCTGCTGTTTACTATTTACCCCCCTACCGCCCTCCCTTCCACCATGTCAATAAAAGAGGCCTTCCATTGCTTCCACTGCTGTACAACTTTAAAGTGGAGCGGAGCCAACTGTTTCTGAAAATTAAAGTTCTCAAATGTGTTGAGAGTGTGCTTTTTTATAAAATTGTCGGCCTAAAGATCCATAATATCCATAATATGCAGAGACGACGTAGTATAATTCAATACTTGTACTTTATTATTCTTATAAGAAATGTATTAATGTTAATTTAAGTATGTTAAATGCCTCTTTTGTGTGTGTTTGTCGCTTAATATAAGTATTTAAATAAGTAACTATAATTATGTTTTAAATGGTACCTTAATAACGACGACCACTTCCTATTTCACGATCAGCTGCCTGCTCTTCAGGGACTTCCCCAATTCCTACATGTAGTTCAAACCTGCTTAGGAATACTAAGCGTATTATATTTTATATTGAACTAGCGTATCGTTGCTGCACCACTGAATTGTAGTGGTTTTTAAGCTCTCCAACGTCACATCATTCCCAATTCCTCCTTCGCTTTTTATGACTTCGATCAGGTCCTTCTTCCGGTTCTATGGATGTAAATGTACATAGATGCCCTATCGAGAAGATCTTGCAATCGTGATTCACGTTCGTTGGTATTTTGAGCGACTGTACATGGAACACACAGAAGGAGGCGTGGCAGACCCCACAAAGTATATATATTCTTGATCAGCATAACAAGCCGAGTCGATATAGCCATATCCGTCTGTCTGTCCGTCTGTCTGTCTGTCTGTATGAACGCAAGGATCTCAGAAAGTATAAGAGCTAGAATAACCAAACTTGGTATACAGATTCTCCTGAGCCCGAGAAAGGAGTTTGTTCATTTTTTCTGATCCATCCCCCCCACTCCCCCCCCCTATTAACGATTCTCCATAACTCCCGTAATTCTTGGAATTTAGAACTTAAATTTGTTACTGATTAAGTTACTGATTATATATCCGTATACCAAGTTTCATTATGATAGGTTGATCGGAAAGAAAGTTATAGCCATATAACCAGGCCCAATGCACACATACATACATATGTACAAGTACACAAACACGCATAGACACGATTCTGATGTAAATGTAAATGTATGTATGCATGTATGGAATATATTTAATTTAGTTAATTAATTTAATTATATTAATTAATTAACTTAATTTCTTTTTTGTGGGGTGGTACAGGATATTTAAGAGTTGAGCCTGCTCGACTTTAGCATTCGTTTCTTGTTTTTCACTCATGTTTTTTAATTTTGTGATTTTTTTACAAATGGATGCATTTTATTGAATTCGATTTTATTTTTTTACGAATGAAATACGAACAAAATGATGAAAAAGTGTCTGTCAAACAAATGAAAATGAGCAGAAATAGCCAGAAAACGATGGTTGATCCCGTGGAACAATCGCCACGAAACTTCACAGGATTACCCACGGGACTATTTTGAATATTGCCACAAAATTTGATCAAAATCGGTTGAGCGGCTTTGAAGTCTATAGGGAACATATAGTATATACATACACTAGCAGGTCTTGCCCGTCTTTGCTGGGCAAAGTAAAATGTGCTTATAATTAAAAGTTTATTTACTACAAGTATATGATAGTCTTCTTTCGACGCTCTCTAAAGTTTTTTAAAGAGTTCATTTTCCAAATAGCAAATATAGTACAATAAGTACTATGTATGGTTGTACGTAAATACATACTTATGTACATATCTTCGTTACACACCGGGCGGACTGCCAGTCCTGACTTAACTGTGTGCTTCCTCAGCACGTTGTACGCACGGTCGAGTTATCCCTGAAAAGTCCGACGCGGGACATTCAATTATGATTTATAAATCGGGACGTCCCACCAAAATTGGAGCGTTCGGCAACGCTGATATGTACATACATTTAAATTTTTCATGCAGCCGTTATCCGCCCATATACATACATATATAAGTATGTGTTACATTTTTTAATTCTACACTAATTTGTGTCTTCAATTCCAAATATGATTGTTGTGAATGTAAAAGGTGTGTTTCTGCTTTTGTAAATCGCATGAATACACTCACAAAATAGGCTTAACGGTAAATGACTCTTAGATTTGTCCAGAATACATTTGTAGTGTTGTTAGTTAACACTAAAACGATAAGTCGCTGTAAATATGCGATCAGCTGAGATGATAGAGATGGGCATGTGTCGGATGCTCTATGTGTTGGAGCATCAAAACTATCAATAGTTGAACCCGTCGATACAATCAATAGTTCCATCGAAGTTTGAATGCAATTAACAGAAAATTTAAATAATAACATCTTATAATTTATTGAGATCAATTAGAACAGATCAACGCAACGCAACGCGAAGCAAAATATGCGTAGCTCCGCTTTCGGTTTCTGCTTTACTATCGCTTACGCAGTCGTTGCCTAGCGACGGTAACTGTAAACTTTTGGCATTTTGCTTTTGAAATTAACAGGCGTAAATGATCAAAACGAAAGAAGAAGCGCGGGCCAATGACTTGCAGTTGTTGTTGTACATACATATGTATGTACATATGCATGGGCTGTGCGTTGATCACCAATCAGTCAGTCAGTCAGGACAAACTGTTTTATATATATAGATATGTGCATACTTCCATTTTTATATGCATACTTGTATATAATAGATAGATTAGAACACATTTTTCTTCTTACATATTTTGGATATACAATGTGATGTAAAATTTGTTTTCTGCTGCCTCAGTTGTGTTTGCACTTTCGACCTACATTTGCCAGATTTGCAAATTGCCTGCAAGGGGAAATTACTTAATTCGCTTGCCCCACAACGAGTGCCCAGCGAACACCTTGGAC